ATCGAAGACACCTAGTGGGATCCCAGTGTGTCGATGTACATTATTTCGCCGACACTCAAAGCACGTGCGGGTCCTATGAGTTATGTCGAGGCTCATTTTGGGCCAGACGAAGTTTTGGGTGACTAAATTTACTAACGCGCGAATCCGGTGGTGCGACAAGTTGTGCAAGGTATTGAAGGCCTGCTTCCTATAGGGTTGTGGCACTTCCGGGCGGGGAGTACCTGTAGAACCACCAGATGTTACCCTCTGAATTATGAGAGGGACGAGCTGTAGCTCGAGCGAGCTGTTACTCTTAAGAGTCTCCAGCTTACGGTCGGACGTCTGTGCCTCGGCGATCCGCGAAAGGTTGATAGTCGGAACGGACGATGAGATGGATGCGTGACAATGCATCGGTGACAGGTTTGTGCTCACCTGAGACTTGTCATATATCCTCAGAAAACTGATTGATATAGTACAGGTGACGAGACTGTCTGGGAGAATACCTCTTGGAGTTGGATCGAAAGGCGTATATCAGTGGTTTGTGGTCGGTCAAGACAACGAAGGAAGGGACTTCGAGCATGTGTCGAAAGTGCCGTATCGCGAGATATATAGCGAGCAGCTCGCGACTAAAAGGGCCATATCGGGATTCGCACGGTTGCAACCGCTTAGAGAAGAAAGTGAGCGGTTGTCAAGCGTCGTTGATCTGTTTCTGCAAGACCGCCTCGACCGCTACGTCGGACGCGTCCGTCATTAGAGACAGAGGGGCGCCGGGAACGTAGTGTGCAACGGAAGCCATGTTGGGGATAGCTTGTTTCAGGCTGGTAAGTGCCGTGCGTGAGGGGTCGGTGAACGTGAACTGCTTGGGATTACTAAACAAGAGGTCCGTCAGCGATTGCATAAGGGTGGCGCACTTTGGGATGAAGCGCAGATAGAAGTTGACTAACCCTTTAAGCCGTCGAGGCTGCTTTAACGACGTAGGTTCTGGACACTGCGAAATGGCTAGCGCCTTATCCTGTGGCTGTGCGACTCCAGATTCAGAGACGCGAAGAGTTAAAAGAGCACTTGGCGGTATTTATTGTTACACCATGTCGGCGTAGACGTGTTAAAAGAGTGCGCAGGAGCTGCTTGTGCTCCTCCGTGGTAGCACTGGCTACTAAAACGTCGTCTAGGTAGCCGAATGCGCTATTCAAACCTTGAAAAGCCTGATTTATAAAGCCTCGAAAAGTTTGAGCGGCATTGCTCAGATCAAAGGACATACGTAGGAACTCAAACAGACCAAACGGTGTGGTCACCGCAGTGTTAAGAACATCCTCGGGATGGACCCGGATCTGATGGTACGCCCGAACTAAATCGATTTTTCTAAATACCTTACAACCCCCCCCCAACAAACTAGCTGTTAGATCTTGAATGTGAGGAATGGGGAAGCCATCTGGGGCGGTGACTTGTTTAAAGCGCCACACGGCCGCCAGTCGCCAGGAGACTTCTTGGGGACCATGCGTAATTGTGAAGCCCAAGAACTGGAGCATGGTCGGATAATTCCGAGGTCTAGCATGTGCTAAAATTGAGCGCGGGCTATTTTGAGCTTGTCCGTGGCGACGCGTCTAGGCCGGGAAAGTGTCGGTGGACCGCACGTAACTATATGATGTATCATGTCCGTAGTCGCCTGAGGTAGAGTGTCCAGTGGTTTGCACAACTCCGGGAACTCGGAGAGAACCGCTCGGAACTTGTCTGTATCGTCGGGTGTGTACCACAGCGGGCTGACCGAAGGAGTGGTCGCAGGCGTCCCGATGGTCTCACATGCAGTGAGACGGTCGATTAGTTTATGGCCAACCGTATCAACGATGAGGTTGAAATGCCGGAGGTAGTCGATGCTGATAATAGACTGCGGAGGGTGGGCGGTGATGACTACCCAAGGTAAGCTACGGCGAATACCAATGTTCAGTGTGAGCGAACGCTCGCCGTAGGTTTTGATGGGTGTGCGATTCACGGGGACCAGTTCCACCGAAGAGAGACGATGTAGGTCAGCGGGGAGAGGACGTATGATGCTGACCTGTGCGCCTGTATTGACCAGGAAGCATATCTCGGTATGAAGGTCGGTAACGAAAAACAGACGACTTCGCTGTGGCGAGCCGGACACGGTCGTCACCTGGGCTGGTCGGCTAAGTAGTTTCCCGAACTGAGGGTGTAGGTGCTCGGTATGAGGCACCTCTTTGCGACATCACCGTGGCGGCGGTGATACCAGCAAATCCCATTCGACGGTGAGCGAGATCGCGGGCGCCTCGGGCTACGGCCCCTGTGGCTGGAGCGTGTACGACGGCTTGTCTTAGGCGGTCGCGAGATAAAGTTAACGCCTGAACCTCTGCGACTAAAGCTTTAACGCAAGCTACGAGTTGGACGTTGTCGGGATGGAAGACAAGCTTTTTGGTAGAGCTTGCATCCAGGACAAATGGAGGATGTCTCATCGGCATTGAGGTTGGAGGCCTGCCCCTGCATGTAACTTAACAGTTTCGTGGGCATATCCAGGCCGCTGTCGCCGAGGCGCAGACCACCTAAGAGCTGTTTAAGACGACATTCCGTCGGCATGCCGAATCAGCTTAGGATCGCGTCCCTAAGTGCATCACACAGACGATCGGGGGGTGAGTTACATACAATGTCACGCATGCCCGGGGCCATAGACCTCGGGAGGTGACCTACAAGTTGTGTGAACTTAGCTAGTTGATTCGTCACCCTAGCTAGTTAAACTGTGTCTCTACCTGAGCCAGCCGAAATTCGGGATCTTCCGGGATGAACCCAGGGATACAGGCTTGCCGGCCCAAAACGCTTGTCTCCTCTGTTGCAGCCATAGCGCCATTCTTTTTACCCTCAAAAAATTGATTAAACATTGGATCCGGTGTAAATTAAGGGAAAACAAATAAATAAGAAATTAACAAGGATGCCTGAAGAAACGTACCAATACAATCTGAATGAATGAGTAAGATAAGTATCCAATTATTTAAGTGGTTACGAAGTACAAATAATGAAACTTGGGGGATCGTATGCTAAAAATCGTTCACCGGTAAAAATAAGTAACCAATACTGTTAAAAAAAGTAGAATAAATAATAACAGTATACGCTTAATACAAAAATAAAAAACAGTGTCGTGCGGGGGCACGAAACTCACTGCAAACTTGCAGTCTGTGGAGTGCTAAAAGGCATCCGGATGAATGAACTCAGGCTCACCAAATTAGCACACTAAGTCTGGCTGAAGCTACAATGCGTTCACGAATTCAATAGATCGGGCTTATCGAACGTTTCCCAGAGTGAGAACGAACTGAGAAGAAAGTCGGGTACGAGCGTTGGTAGTTTTGTGTGATCTGCAGTGGAAATTGTACAGAGAGCAATGCGCACGATAAAACTCAGCGGAAATTGTGCCAAGTTAGAGGTCATATGTGTTCTCGAAATGGAGGGCAATAAAAATAAATAGGGTCTTTACATGAGTCAGGGGAGGGTATTGGAAAGTAAAAATAATGTTAATACAGTGCCAGCCAATCCTAGACAGCGCAGACAGAAGCAGAAGTTTGCAAGCAATACCGCAATATGATTCATAGAAACCTCGATAATCAATGACCTTCTTTTGTACATATTATTTATTCGCTTTCATTTATTCATTTCATAAAAGAACTACGAATTGCTAGTCGTGTAGCCTTTTCCTCGAGCCCCGTTAAGGTGCGAGCTCATGCCATTGTGGTCCAGTGCTTTCATAATCCAGTCCATGAGAGCTGATCCTAAATTCGTGTCCTGTGATTCCTATTGCGTGATTCTTATTCCAATTTCCGTATGTATTAGTGCTACTACTTCAGTTATTACACCAAAGCAAGTCGAAACGTGTTGCCGATGCTTTGCCACGTAATCACGTAATCACGTAATTGCGATAAATTCCCCTTTAGATATAATAATAATAATGTATATTTCACGAAACCCGTGAAGCATGCACAAGGCATGATCATATGTTCAAAATAATGATATGTACAACGACAGAACAGGTGAATGGATAAACTACTTGGGAGACATACATACTGGAGATGGTATGGGAGCGAAACGAAAACGCTGTGTAAAC